AGCAGGCGGACGGACGGGTGGATGGACGCGCGGACGTACAGACGAAATGACGCACGAACAGACGGATAGATGGATGGACGGACGCATGGACAGATGGATGGACGCATGGATTGACGCACGGATGGTCGCGCGGACGGACGGACAGAAGCACGGACGGGCTGACGGATGCTTCGCCCCACTCATCATTATTCACTTCGTGGATATGCTTTAATTTTTCTTGCTAGAGAGTACTCAGTTGGGGAGAATATTGAAACCGTTCACGTATGCAAAATAAACTGAAAGGTAATGAGTGGCAGGGAGCTTTTACTAACGTTTCAGCTGTGGCACGTGCGGCCGTCGTCAGAGGTCGTGCCCCGGCTGAAACTTCATTCAGTACAAAAAATACCCAGACCAGTCGGATATTCTCTTGAAGTCGTATATATATAGTACCATGCAGTGGATAGCACAGCTAGACAAACCGGTATAAGGATACTGTACGTCAAAAATGACCGGGGAAATTCGTAGGATGTATTATCGCCGTACAAATGTATGCTTTAAGATCAATATAATAATAATTCTTGGGGTTCAATTAAGACTTTAAGATCAACATGGACATTAACTTTTCCTACTGTATAGTTACATTAACAGCAAGTGTGGTGTTGCTATGATGCTAATGACTAATGATAATCACAAGGCAGCTTACGTGAGACGAGTCATGCAAACGCGCGTGCCAATAGCGCATGCCGCTAAGTTAATAAATCAAGTAACATCTCAGACCACTCACAAACCTTTTCCCTGCATCTGAAGTATTTCAGTCTACGCGTCATTACTATTTTATGGAATTTGCTGTAGCTAGCAGTTACATTTTCCTTAAAAGGTTTCTTAGTTTTTATTATCTTACACATGGATCCACCATATCTACCGTGTGAATGGTCCCGCTTACGGGGGGGGGGGTGTATGGGTGGGGCAGGGTTTGCGAGTTGAAGGAGAGGGAAAGGCACCTGACTGCGCTCTTACCTTTTGGAGCTTTTTGGAGTCCATTGCAACTGCTTTACTGACTTTTACATACATCCAGGGTGTTTCGAGGAGGAAGTGAATTCCATGGAGAGTACATATTGTATTGCAGTTCCAACCTTATGTGCTCAGATTTGGGTGCATGTTAAAGAACCCCAGGTGGTCAAAATTTCCGGAGCCCTCCACTACGGCGTCTCTCATAATCATATGGTGGTTTGGGACGTTAAACCCCACATATTGATCAATCAGTTCCAACCTTATACCTAAGAACTACCTTGAGCAAGCGCTTTCTTAAGCTGGTACTTGAGCAGTAAACGTTTTCGTGGTTGTTCGTCGTTATATAGTGCGATATACGAGTTTGCATATGATGCACGCAGAACACGACACAAAATTTGCGGCATTCGCCATGCTTTGCATCCCTCCCCGCCTCCTTGTCGCGAACGCGCACTTACGTGTCTGCGTCAGCATCGATGCAGCGGTGCCCATGTGCGTATTTCAGCAAAGCAAACATGTCCACATGTGTGGCGTACCCTGAAACTACACCCCCATTTATGCGCGCACACGCAGAAGTTCGCGACGCTGCGAGCCAGCACGCATCCGCGCAGCACACAAGCAAACGCAGTTCCGCAAGTCATGGCAAGTCAAGTCATTGCACAGTCGGATGATGCGTGGCTGCATCCAGGTGCTTGTTTACTCAGCAGGTTGTGACACGTTGTCTCGCAGTCGTTGTATAGCGTGTTTCATGCGACCTTTCGGCGGACCTCCAAAACCAGGGCAATAACACTGTCGGACCGCTGCGTGCGTTCTGCACCCAACGCCCTGAAACCCTTCGGGATGCGCACCGCTGCCTCAGCTGGCTTGCCGGTGTTTGACTCGAGAGAAAGGGAAGCGCGCTGTGAGTGCCCTTAAGCAAGCACTTATTACTCGAGCTTTCGCGCCTCATAAATCGCCGGCTGCGGCACGGTCGCGGCGAGCGTGACCAGCGCCAATAACAAAAGCGTCCTGTCGCGTCGGCCAGCGATCACACGCTGTTGGGTTCTGCTCGACAAAACGGCCCGGGACATTAACAGCTCGTAAAAATCACGCAGGCTTGGATTTACGGCCCCTGCACGTCTCTGCCGCGAAATAAGCGAGGGGGTTGCGTAGGATTGCGACCGCGCGCTCGGGGTCCCGCATTGATCGGGGCACCTGCCGCCACGCCTGGCCGCCTCGGCGACGACGCCAGCCCCCGTGGCGGGACACTGTTCGCTGACTGTTGCGCGCAACGTGCTCCACACTGGGAACCGCTGCTCTCTGGGCCTGCTCGAGTTCGCCTATATACGATACGTTCGGCCGCGGGAACCTATATAGGCGCGTGAGCAGATGCCGTTTGAAGTGACAGAATTCCGTCGTTGTTTTGATTTTATGGGAGCGAGGCTTTCACAAGCCTCCTTGCACCACGGTCCTTTTACACCGAAGACAACATCTCACATATAGCAGTCAGATTGCGTATCCGGTTATTGTGCTGCCTATTCGACCATTCGAGACGATGTTGTATACTGGAGCAAGAGAGAGGACATTTAGGTTAAGAGGATGAATAACACAGATAAATCACATTTTGCGAAAAAGAATTGATGGAGGGGGAGGGGGTTACGCCTTTGATCCAGCCCCACTTGACAGATGCAAGTATTCAGTGATGCCGTTACCGGGCTCGCAATCTGTGTCGAAGCTATGTGCCATCATGACAGCTTGCCAAGTCTGTACCGCGTCACTCGTACAAATGTCACATTTAACAGCGCAAGCAACCGGAGCGCGAGAGCGGTAACGCTATGATAAACCGTTCTGGCTTCCTAACATGACTTGGCCCGTTTTGACGTGTATAATTAAACACTAGTACGCTCAATGCGGTGGCATGAATCTGATCGAAGCTTTCGGTAGCTACCCAGAGGCCCGCACGTTTATTAAAGACGATAGTCTTTCTTGGGGACCTTCGACGCAAAAATTTTGGTCTGTCTGTACATTTGTCTGTTTGCCCACTCTTACCAGCATTGGGTACTTGAAACGGCCGACCTCATCCGCAGCGACCACCAATGTTGCACAAGGTTGAGCGTTCCTGCTTTTGCAATTGTCGATTTAAAAGCAATTATTGCGCATGTCTGGGGCACCATAACAACACGCATATATTCTGCATATGCATCACTTACTAGAAAACGCATACATAAGTAATTTTAAGGACCGTAGCGCTTATCACGCTGCGCTTACCATGCTACGCTTGCACGGAGCGGGGAGTGTTTCCGACGCTTTGCTAAGACTAGATGGTGGTGGCACCTACTCGTCGCCTCGTGTTCTACACCTTATCACCTCTGAGACGGGCGCGCATGGCCACGCGCTTTGTTTTCCAAAAGAAACTGCCAGATGGCGCTCATGTCACACGTGTGACGTGACTTGACGCGCTTGTTCGCTCACGCTGCACGCTCGAGGCACTAACGCAGCGCCTCCGGAATACCATTCACCGATTTTCTTGCGCACATCAAATAAATGTTTTGTTCACTCTCTCCAGACGCAAGACTATCGTCTTTCGACGACTTTTGCAGATTACATGCAGATACGGGGCCAATTTTTTTTAAACCTTTCTTTCTTTTTCTCCGCCTCATATGTTAGCACTGTGACACACTCGTCAAGCACCTCGCTGGGAGCAGTGAAAAAAAAAAAAAACTTGGTGGTTTGTAAAGGCGTCATGCGCAACAGCATCTGGCTGAGCGCCACGTGAGCGTGCACCAAGGCGTCGGCCGCGGAGGGCGGGCGCCACTCGCCCGTGTCTGGGCTGATCTCGGCAAACTCCTCTTTCCGCTTCCTGACTTCCCTCTGCTCGGGAAAGAATTTGCCAAAGGGCGCTATCGCGCGGAAGTGCGGATTTAGATAAGCTGGGATTAGACACTCAGGGGGGGGGGGGGGTCCTAATGGCCCCGGGCTTAGCGGCATGGGCCCCTTCTCGCTATTGCACCCTGCTCCCTGCATCCTGTCTCCAAAACAACTCGCTGCCATTTCGACCAGACGTCGCCGTTCTAGTGACGCAGCAAATCTGTCCCCGTTAACTCGCTTATTAAAAAAACACAAACATACGCACATATATATATATATATATATATATATATATATATATATATATATATATATATATATGTGTGTGTGTGTGTGTGTGTGTGTGTGTGCGTGCGTGTTTGTGTGTGTGTGTGTGTGTATATATATAAATGATGTGGCTATAATTGCATAGAGACTGAACAAAGAAGGGTATCCTAAATCTGGCCAGTACGTAAGCTGCCAAAATGATACACAACAATGGCTCTCAGATAAATATATCTCATACATCAACGCTGCAAATTATATTTCACTCTGTTCTGTTCTCCCCCTCAACATACAACTCAATCTTTCTGCCCCACCTTATAAAACCTCATGTCTTTCGGTTCGCTTCTTTTTAGCGAGAAGCGCATACATATTGTCGTATACGCTTGCGTTTTTTTTCTTTTGATGTATGTGGCTCAACTACTTCAAGTGTGTCATTTTCACACTACGTATCTACACATTTTGGCAACATGTGCCTCAAAAAGACCACCCCCCTCCCAAAAAAAAGAGACCAGCATTTACTAAACTTAATAGAACCATCGTTTCCTATCGCTGTTATTCGTTCATTAAGTTCCCTTATTCCCGTTTGCATAATGAAGCAACTCATTTTAATAGAGTGGGTGATGCAAGAGTGGTGAACTTAAGGCGAAGTTTAAGTAATTCGAAAACTCGAACAAAACTTCGGTCTCTTAGGGCATTAGTGGAATGTAATTTTTTCTCTAGTTTTTTTTGATTGTATGCTTACTTGGTACTTATATACCGCAGCTTTCATTGAACAAAAAATAAAGTACGTTTCTCACGCAGCTCTTGTGCACTGTATGATACACCCACATGGAGGGCGAGCAAGGTGCTCTTCTGGTGCAAGCGCTGCCTGACATCTACATGTATACACTTGATCTTTGCAGGTGGAAGGTGCAGCGCCCGGACGAAGGCGCGCGTGCGGCCGACGTACTCGTGATCGGGCCGACATGCTTGACCGCTGAGCCATGCGACTGCACGTGCTTGTCCTGCTGCTGCTGGCCTCGGCTGGCGGTGGCTGGTCGCGGGAGCGCTGCGAGGACATCACGATCCCAATGTGCAAGGGCATCGGCTACAACCAAACGTCCATGCCGAACCAATTCAACCAGGACACGCAGGACGAGGCTGGCATGGAGGTTCACCAATTCTGGCCCCTCGTGGAGATTCAGTGCTCCGACGACCTGAAGTTCTTCCTCTGCTCGCTGTACACGCCGATCTGCATGGAAGAGTATGCGGGCAGCGTCCCGGCCTGTCGCTCTGTCTGCGAGAGGGCGCGTGCGGGCTGTGCGCCCATCATGCGTCAGTATGGCTTTGCGTGGCCCGAGCGCATGAACTGTGACGCGCTGCCGCAGTACGGCGATGCGGAGCAGCTGTGCATGGACGCCAAGGAGGGTGCGCGGCCGGACAGCGCCGACACAAGCCTCGTGGTGGCCCCTGCGGTCCCCCCGAGCAAGCCCAGAGGAGGTTCGCGGCCCCGACAGCGCGAGCGGCAGCCCGGAGGCCGGGGCGCGTCGAGCGGTGATTGCGACTGCCCATGTCAGGCGCCGCTCATCAACACGTCCGATCCACACTTCTACGCGCGCGGGCTGTCGTCGAGGCCGCCGGAGTGCGCGCTGCCCTGCCGGATGGTGTACTTTAACGGCTATGACCAGACCTTCGCCACGTACTGGGTGAGCACATGGGCCGTGCTGTGCTGCGTGTCCACCAGCCTGACGGTGCTCACGTTCCTCATTGACACGGCTCGCTTCCGCTATCCTGAGCGACCCATCATATTTCTCTCCTTCTGCTACCTCATGGTCTCTGTCGGCTACCTGGTGCGGCTGGCCATGGGTCACGAGCCCATCGCCTGCGACGGCAACGTGGTCCGCTACTACGTGAGTAGCCGGCCGTTCGCCTGCACGCTGGTCTTCATCCTGCTTTACTTCTTTGGCATGGCAAGCTCCATGTGGTGGGTCATCCTCACGCTCACCTGGCTGCTGGCGGCGGGCCTCAAGTGGGGCAACGAGGCCATCGCGAGCTATTCCCAATACTTCCACATGGTTGCCTGGGCCGTGCCCACTGTCAAGACCATCGTGGCCGTGCTATTGAGCGCCGTGGATGGTGACTCGGTCGCCGGCGTCTGCTACGTTGGTAACCAGGACCTGACTAACCTGCGAGCCTTCGTTCTCGGACCGCTCTGCCTCTACCTGCTGTTGGGTACCTCGTTCCTGCTTGCCGGCTTCGTGTCACTCTTCCGTATCCGTTCCGTTATTCGTGCCCAGGCACGTGCCAAGGCCGACAAGCTCGAGAAGCTTATGATCCGCATCGGCATTTTCTCAGTGCTGTACACGGTCCCAGCCACAGTTGTCATCGCCTGCTACTTCTATGAGCACCACTACCGAGAGCCCTGGCTCCGCCGCTTGCGCTGCCCCTGCCCACGCAACAACGAGGCCCCCAGGCCGCACTTCTTTATGTTCATGGTCAAGTACTTCATGTGTCTAGTCGTAGGCATTACGTCTGGCTTCTGGATTTGGTCCGGGAAGACGTTGGAATCGTGGTGGAATTTCTACGCCAGGCTTTGCGGAGGTCGCCGCCGACGAGGCCGCAGCGTCGCCGGTGGAGGAGTTGGTGATTTTCCAGATCCCCATGTGCGAACATTCAAACAGTCGATGAGTCCAGTCAGTCACATCGGGCAGTTGTCCAGCCATGGCGGCAAGCAGTTGCCGCTGTCACACGTGTGAGTACAGGCTGGTACCCCAAATTACCAGCGTGCATCTCGAACCCCTTCCGTCTAGTCCGCCGTTCGGATCCGTGCTTGTTCTCAGTGCATCTTGAAGCACCGTCAGCTGCTCGCTTGCTCTCTGAAACCGCACGTGCAAGCCCAGACACTGCCGGTCAGTGAAATAATACGTGCCGTGAACCCGTGAGCCCATCCTAGTTCTTTCACGGAAAGCTGCGTATGAACTGCGATTCGTGGCCGCTGTCTGGAAGTCCGTGAAACTGTTTCGCTCAATGAAGTTCGAAAGGTTATGTAACGGACGAAGACGCCAAGAGGCTGTCACTCAAACGTTCCAACGATCATCTTTTAGCTTTCATGCGGGCAATGGGCCCCAGCTGGAAAATATTAACCGTATGATCAGTTTTGCCAAGTCTCCAAGATTCATATGCGTGTTCGCGACATAATTTTTTATGTTAATATACAGCTGATGTTACATAGCTCATTGATGTAGTCGCGTGGACACCAGTAATGACTACCACCCACACTATCTGTTGTACCTCGTGTGTGATGTGTACCACTTCGTTCGCCACTGAAAAGCGGTAGCACACCTCTCCGTGCTCAAACATGGGGCTTGAGGTTGCAGGGTTTCGAATGAAGACCAGAATGGGAGCTTATTTGTAGCTTTGGATCTCTGAGGCATAGAAATGCGCATGTAAAGAAAAGAACGGTTCGTTACGGCAGTGTGTAGTGTAGATACGTCCATTCTGACTACTACTAGAATATGCTTTATAGTTTGATTTATATTTACTTGATGTTGTGTTTTTACATGGGTAATACCAGTCTACATGAACAAAACGCTTTCAGCGCACGAGTGTGTAGGTCTTTTATTCTCTATTTTAGATTCTGTAGCACCCTCGTACTACTTACTCTGCAATACTGTAACGTGCACTCTGTTACATAGCTGGATCTTTTTCGCAATGGACAAATGTTCGCTCCCTGCGTGAAGCGTGGTTGAAATTTTTGTGAATGATAAGTGCAAGTTCAATATCTGTTTTGTCTCCTGGGGCGTATCTGTCGATGAATCGCCCCGAATCTCCTGTAGTAGGAGCTTACCGCAGTCGAAACGCGCAATGGGTGCCGCTGACAACGAGAAAGTCACCTCGTCAGCTCTCCTGCGTTGTAGCCAAGAATCTTCGCCAAGGCCACGTTAGTGTATTCGTGTTTGGTGTTTCGTTTCCAGTCGGAGAGCGAACACCTTCTTTGTAAAAGCGGTCGCAGACAGGGCGTCTCGCCGAATGCCCCAGGATGTACGCCGGATGTGCCACCTCGCGGCGAACCGCGCGCTGCGCCCTTCCCGAGAGGAAGGCGACTGACTCAAAACCGGAGATGGAGGAATGCCCGCCGTGACTCCGGCTGTCCGCGCAGTGTCTCTGGAAAGCTTCAAGTCGGGGCGAGGGGCCCTTCTGCCATTTGTATGCAGCGCGCGACGCCGCCGTGGGCTGTGTACCTCGGGTGACCCATTTCACGGCTTCAGTGCACCGGCCCCCTAGCACACCGCTTCGCCCCCTGCGCGCACACAACTCCTATGTCGCAGCTTGCGTCGTTTGCGAAAAACCCCGGGCTTTGCGACCGGGCTTTGGTGAAGCCATGTGCTGAAAAAGGCTTTTGTTTGTCCCTCCGCTCTCACAATCGGTGGGCCGCTGTTTGCTTAAACACATGAGGAAGCGCGTGTTCTGTGTACTACGATGTTAATGCTAGATAGAGAATTGTGCATTCTCGATGGGGGGGAGGGAGAACCCTGAAAGAAGCATACGTTGTAGTGTCTATACAATCCCCACTGTACTTTAACGCCTAGTTTGTTTTCTGCAAAAAAAAAAAAAACAGAGCACGTGAAAAAGGCTCGACAGAACTCGGGTAAATTTTTCTGGCTCAAGCGACAAGTGGTCTTCGAAGACCGTTCTAAGAAGGAAATATTCTGTGCACTTGCTCAACGTAGCGGCAAAATACAGCATGTGCATAGGTTATTAATTTGTACACACATCCATTTTGTATGTTATCACCGACTCCATGCATCATGTTTCACATATTCGGTGGTCTCCATGTCGAAAAAAAAAAAACGCAACTTAGGAGTGTCGCCGCCCAGTGTGAAACGTCTTGTCGTTATTCGGCGGTGTCTGATTCCTTCTTCCGTTGTCAGTACCGTGTACGCTGATGGCGATTTGGACACAGATGCCGTCGATTCTAGTACCCGAGATAACAATCTAACTGTGTGTATAGCAGCGGCGATCTTCTACACCTCTACCAAACGCCCACAGACGCGCTTCTTGACGCACCGTGAAGCGTGGGTCATGGGTGAGTCGGATCCTGCACCTCGTTGTCCATACGAGATGCATGGGCCAAGTCAGATGTGAACTTGCTTTTCGGAAGAGTTCGGCGCACACTGGATATCAAAAACAAAGTAGCAGTTTAGGCCAAAAAGGATCCCGCCAATTTTCGCCGCTTCTTGTACCTTTTGTCGAATTTCCCACAATTGCGAAAATCGAGAGAAAAAAAAAACGACTCCCGAAAATGTAAACTTGGAGTGTGGCTAGTCTTTGTTGACTTGGAATGAAGAAGGAAAAGAAGAGACGTTGCCATATTTTAACGTTGCATGGCACGCGTTCTGCGTGCCTCACGAGCGTCACATTCACGTGTCGTACTATCTAAGAAATGGTTGCTGGATACATTTAAAAACCAAGGTATCGCAAAAGAATTGTTGAGAGCTGTGGACCGGTATAATGTCGTTGTTCTTGTTGGAGTTTAACGTCCCAAAGCCACCATATGGTTATGAGAGACGCCGTAGTGGAGGGCTCCGGAAATTTTGACCACTTAGAGTTATTTAATATGCACTCAAATATGAGCACATTGGCATACATAATTTTTGCCTCCATCGAAAATGCGGCTGCCGCAGCGGGGATTCGATCCCGCGACCGGCGGGTCAGCAGCCGAGTACCTTAGGATCTAGACCACCATGGCAGGTGACTGGTGTAATGTCACCATTTGCTTTATACCGATATTATTATTATTATTATTATTATTATTATTATTATTATTATTAGCCCTTGATCGCAGGCTTGTCGTCTGTACTGTCGAATGGGCCCGCTACACGAAACACAAAATGGATTCAATATGGTGCGGAACAATTGTGTTTACACTGGCCCTGACTACTTTCAGCATTAGCCGGCGACGTTCTGTGTCGATAACATCAAAATGGTGAGGCGCAAAGCCTAGCCACGTAGTGACTATCCAAATCCCGCAAAATTGGCTTTCAGATCTTAACCCACGCGGATATCTCTCCGAAAAGTTTTCACGATCTGGCTTGCGCCCGAAGAGCCGTCGAGAGTGACAACGCGATCGCCGAACAAGGGGCTGTGCCATTCAGCAGGCCCCTTTGGGTCGGGTGTCGTTCGTTACGCCATACGTATTGCTGCAGCTGTGCCGCCTCTGCGCGAGCCCATCCACTTTGTCTCGAATGCAATGTTCTGGAAGCTCGGCCAACTTTCTCAGTTCCGCTGTCCCAGCCATCGGGATGGCATCAGAAGAAGGAACATATCACAAGTGGCCAACAGTTTACAAACCTCCATTTGGAACGAGTCGCGTTGCTGTACAAACACTTTCTCTGTGTCTACCACTTTGCACAAACCACAGGGTAGTCTACGCCGACGAAGAGGGAATAAGAAAGGATTATCCTTGCGTGCTATACGTTACAGGTGTATCTACTCACGCTCATGTTCCACGTTCATTCGTCACGCCATTTATTTTGTTCGCTTAGGTGTAGCATACGTCTTGTACATTTTGTTTATGTATATATAAAGAAATATTGCTATTGTCATTGCTATTACCAATTATCACCAGACGTTGTCACTTCCGTCGCCATTAAGCAACGTTCGCTGGGCATCCGTTGAGTGTGTATAATTTAATGTACATTGCCATTAAAGAAAGAAACGTATTGTTGATATAACATGTGTCTGATGTGCGCTCCTTTTTCTGCCCTCGCCTTTGCCACTGCTGCCGAGGGCACTACGAATAAGCCACATCGCCGCCCAAGGCTCACACATCAGTCATCGCAAACACTCCAGAGACAGTCCTTCCACCCCTACGTATATATCGTCGATGGGCATGTTCTATGCAGTTTGCGAAATATTTGTAGGTAATAAAGCTCGCATTCAAATAGTTTCCTAGTGGAGCTGTTGATTTTCTAGATGAAATTTATTGCTACTAAAATACGTTTTTCAGCACATCATCCGTGTAACCAAACGACACAAAAGCTCGTTGGAACGTAGAAGTTTACAGTGATGAAAAATTGCCTAACGGGTCGTATTATCACCGGAGGTGACGTTTCAACAAGAGGACTGGTCTTCACCAGATCTGAAACGGTCTTGTGCGTCTTGCTCACTTTCCCGAAAGCTCATTGGTAGAGATGAAGGATATACTGGTGTTAAAAAAAAAGAGGGGACTTAGGTGAAGTACACTGGCCGCCATCATGTCCCGCACAGAACGTAATTTGTGAATGGCGGAAGATGACTCGGTGAAATATCCGGGCCAGCTCGTTTCTATTTGCTGCAATACATACCGTGTCAGGAACTGTATTATGAAAAGAACGTTGAAGTAATCGATTGATGGATATGTAGGGTTCAACGTCCCAAAACCACCATATATGATTATGAGAGACGCCGTAGTGGATGGCTCCGGAAATTTTGACCTCCTGGAGTTCTTTAACGCGCGCCCGAATCTGAGCACACGGGCGTACAGCATTTACAGAAGTAATCGATTACCTTCAAAGCAACCATCAATTATAATTTTTTAAAATTGGTCGTTGTGATCAATTGAATTGTTAGATAATTTTAATGATATTTTTAAAGTATATAAATCTGGCTCGGCGGGAGTGGTAGAAAACATACGTGCACACGAAACCTTGCAAAAAAGAGTGCTAACCATCTTTGCAGAGGCGCAGACTCAGATCTCCATGGCCGTTTGCGTGCAGCTCTGGCTACCTATTCTAGCATGAAGAGACGGTGCACCGTTCGGCAGCTTCGAGACGCTCTCTCACTGGTGGAAAGTTTTTTTTTCTTTCGGTTTCTTTTATATATAATGTGCACTGTTCAATTTGAAAACAATGAGTAGCTGACACCATAGTATACTCTTAGCTTCGTTGTCCGTGGTCATCATATCGCCGAGGAATGAAACGCTATTACTTAGCCAACTGTGATTCAGCCGATCTGACAGTTATCACATGGAGCTGCTACAGAAAATATTCCACAAATGTTTGCACGAAAACCGCGAAGCTACCGAAGTCAGAAAAGGGCACGGATGAAAAACTGCAGAGAAATCAGTAATATTGACTGCAAGCGCTGCGGACGACAATCGCGATTCTACAGCGCTGTGCATGAAGAAGTGCGTCTAGTGGCGTACCATTGTCACAGAAAAATGTTTTTATTAACAAGTCGTTTTCGTTTTAACCAAGATAAAACTTGCTTCGCAATAGAGAGCGCAATTCGTCCTGCTTAGTGCCAGCGACATGTGTCAGAAAACGCAGCGCATCTTGGCAAGCCTCTTGTGGCAAAACAATGTGGAAACAGCGCGACTTGTTCAGACGGGAAAAACACCAATGAGAACGAGACGGGCAAACTCTGACTTTCATCTGAAACTCTATTGTAAACGAAATCATGGGTATGTCCGAAGAAAATTATTATTACAAGAAAACGTCGAACCATAACTTTTTGTTCAAACTATTACACGTGATCCTCTTGAAACGACCGCTATTCCTGTTACAGTCAGGTGGCTTACTCACACATGATGAACCTTCACAACATGCGGGCGACTCCTATATTTTGACGAGTGCGTAGACCTCGATTTAATTCAGCTGACATCTATATCAACGCCTTCGCGATGCAATGGAAACAGGTAGTGCACAAAGGTTCGTGTGTCAGTAAGCCATCTGTCTGTCTGTCTGTCTGTCTGTCTGTCTGTCTGTCTGTCTGTCTGTCTGTCTGTCCGTCCGTCCGTCTGTCTGTCTGCCTATCTATCTATCTATCTATCTATCTATCTATCTATCTATCTATCTATCTATCTATCTATCTATCTATCTATCTATCTATCTATCTATCTGTCTCCATCTGTCTGTCTGTCTGTCTGTCTGTCTGTCTGTCTGTCTGTCTGTCTGTCTGTCTGTCTGTCTGTCTGTCACAAAAATAGCTGCCGTTTCTAGGTGAGCGCGCGTTAGCGATGTGATAAAGTTATGCTTCAACGAGGGGTTCTGGGGCAATCATTTCAGTTTGTGATGAAGTTTCATTTTAAAATCGGCGCTTGTGCATTTCCATGTCTTTGCTTTCGTACCCGCCTGAAGTAGCTTTTTTGTTGTTTACGTGTGCGACCAAACAGACCTAAGTTTGACATTCTCGTGAGGCATTTCAAGTGCAAGACGACCAGTCAAGCCTCTGTATCATATCGTGGAACAAGAAATAAAGGTAAGTGTTATGATTGTCCCGTGGACAACGATATGGGGGTGTGCGCCTCAAGTGATTGATAATTTATATCTACCAAGAAATGGCGAGAATAGGGATTGGTGATCATTAGAGAAAAAAATATCGGCAGCGTTCACCCGAGGAAAGTAAAGAATAAACATCGGGATCCAGCCCGAATTGATCCCACTCTGGGTCCAAGTCAGATATTTTACCACAAAGCCATGACAGGTCTAGAAATTGGTTTGCAAAATGACCCTATGCAGGCGTAAGGTGAGTGCATCGTCAACAGTTGCGGTGTGCTAGCTCTCTAATTTCGTAACACAGCAATGAAACATTGCACATGTACTCCAGTCATACAGGCGCCGCGTACGGATAATGACAATTGTGTTTTTAGAACTGACCCTGCTTCTACTGCAGTCTAATAAACATTACATTTGTATCCCCATTTTAGAGCTGCTCGATCATGGAGCAATGCGCTGACAAAAGTTACGTAAGATATTCACATCATCGCACCGTAATGTGGACTTTGTTACGATAATACCGACCTTACTTCTCTGGCGCCACTTCTGACATTACGTAATACCGCAGCCTACCTTTCAACGCTAGTGAAGTCGACGTTCCGGGTAAGCCTACTATATGCACACAACTACTATGCTTCCAAAACACGTCGACTCACCTCCTAACGCTTGTCTTGGTCGAAGCCTAAAAATTTAGATTAGACAATCTTTAGCCGGCTGATTCACATGAAACCGATTCACACTAGATATAGGATAGGCCAATTTTTTCTAATTTGGTGTTATGAACCAACCACGCCTCCTATGCGAAAGCGCTCTGCAACTAACGTGTTTTTGAAGTGCGTCCAAGATTGGAGGCATTGAAAGCGTTTTGCACTTCCTCTTGTTTAACGCTGCCTCCGGGATCGGCCCACATGTGACCAAGCAGTTATTTCATGTCACCTAGCGGTGCCATGTTTTGAGACGCAGCTAAATTAGGCCATCTGTGACGGCAAGATGAAGTCATATGGTGACTTGATCAGGTGATGATTTGTTGCGTCACTAGAGTTGACACCGGCAATGCGGAACGCTGGTCTATTTCACGTTCGGTGAGGTAACTAGAGGTTTCTCTTTAAAGAATATAAAAATAAAAATGCGACGCATCTATTGGAGGCGCAATGTTAAGAAGACAGAGGAGATGACGGGCTCCTAAGTAGTACCGGCTGTTGCTGTTTTGCAAAGTTTTGCAATATTTCTCTGCCTTTCTTCCTGTATTTCTTCTTGCTTCTGTTTGTTTTTCGTGTACGTCTTTTTCGTCTCTGTTTATAGTTACTTCTTCCTCTATCTCTCTGTGTTTGTTTTCTTGGTCTTTCAATCCTTATTTGTCTTATCTTCATTTTGTTTCTTTCTCTGTATTTTTCGCTCACATTTTATTTCACCCTCTCTCGTTCTTTCATTCCTGTATTTCTCTTGTTTTTTCTTTCTACCTTCTCTTCTCTCTTTCTCTTGATGCTTTGCTCTCTCTCCCCTCCTCTTCATACTCACATCTGTTCTCTTGACTATCGCTTCCTTTTCCCACTTCCTTTGTATAACATTTACTATACAAGGCGCGTAGCTGGTGTGCCTCGAGAGCCCTGTGATTGAGGAGCTCACCTTCAGATTGTGGGTACGCAGACGCAAATCTTGACTCGCGAAAAAAGTTTTTGTCTAGGAGTTTGTCTATCTTTCTTTTTTTTATCTGTCTCATTGTACTGATTGTTTCGCCGATCATGATTATTGAATACCACGCTGGAGAAATCAGGCCACGTGTTCGGTGAGCGAAGCAGAAGTAGTAGATTACGAAGAAAACGCGTGCTGGGTTTCGATGAAGATAGTTTCCTGTTACAGACAGTGACATCACGTCCGGCTTAAACACCTACGCTATTTAAAAAAAAAAGCCCCGCCGCGGTGGTCTAGTGGCTAAGGTACTCGGCTGCTGACCCGCAGGTCGTGGGTTCGTATCCCGGCTGCGGCGGCTGCATTTCCGACGGAGGCGGGAATGTTGTGGGCCCGTGTGCTCAGATTCGGGTGCACGTTAAAGAACCCCAGGTGGTCTAAATTTCCGGAGCCCTCCACTACGGCGTCTCTCATAATCATATGGTGGTTTTGGGACGTTAAACCCCACAATTCAATCAATCAATTATTTAAAAAAAAGACATATTCACCTATTAGCTTTCTGCTGCGAGGCTGCAATTCAATTTCTTCTAGGGCGCATAATTTCTTTCTTATTGACGTGAAACATTTTGATGGATCTAAATCTACCGCAGTGTGGCTGGAAGAACTCAGGATATTATTCGCATTTCGTGGAGTGAAAGAAGCAGCTCATATGCGTGTAAGAAACATGCGCGTATACAACAATGAACCTGGATGCACGTTTTAATACTATTTACGCATGATAATTAGGATGACTATAACTTAAAGCAACAATTCGCACCCGCATCATAGAGAAACATACTTACATAAAA